TCTCTCTCTCTCTCTCTCTCTCTCTCTCTCTCCTTTTCTTATCCTTTTCTTAATTATTAATAAATAATTTTGTGCTATCAAAATTTAAGAGTTAAATTTAAAATTTAACATCAATTTTGATATTATGAACAGATTAAAGTACAGAAGAAGTGATAATTTCATTTGATTATTCTTTCATTCTTGACCAATTGTTTAGTGTTATATATTTGCCAAAAAATATTTGCATTTATTTAAAATATGAATGTTTTTCAATTGGTTTGTAAAAATTTATAAGATACAAATACTTATTTTTTTTTCAGTTAATCATATTGTGAATTTAATTAATTATTAATTAACTCATTATAGCATTCACGTAATGCACGTCAAGAGAAGTTAATCTTGAAATAGTCACGTTTCCTTTTTGCCAAAAATTTTTTATATTACCGTAATAATACCCTTCATCAATATAAACTTGTTAATATTTAGCAATTGATTAATCAACCATAAGTAATAATTTGTTAATATAAATTACTGATAGCACAGTGATAAATTTGATCAAAGCTTAACACAATCGATGAAACCGAAGGGTACTGCAAATGGGATAAATCAAATATCAGATGATAGGACAGGTTTAAATGGTACTGTACAAGCACCAGCAATTACTCAACGAAATTTTGCCGATGATAAGGGGTCATCTTTGCCATTTGGTGAGGTAAAATTGATTTTATATTAACAGTATGAATTTCATACAAAAAAAAATCGAGGGAACCAAAAATCAAGAAAAAGAAAAATTAATTGTTTAATAGAATTTTTTTTTAAGTTCAGATATAACCCTCAAAAATCAGTGTTGTTGGAAAATTCATTTACTTCAGGATAATCCAGTGATAATCGATTCTTCAATACCGAATGAAAAACGAAGAAGACGACGAAAACGGCGGCAAACGTTAAAGGTATATTTTTGGGAATTTTGAATAAATTTAAAAACAAAATTGGAAATTCGTATTATTGAATAATTTGAGCAAGAAAGTAAAGGTAATATTAAATTAATAAAGATACCAATCGCTTAGCTTTTTTTCGCTTAGTTTTTATGTATCAAATTATTTTAATTTTTGTTATATCAGATATTTTTTTTAGTTTATTCAATTTATCTTCCTTGCTTTTAATGACAACATAATGAAATTTGTCATCAAATTTGTCATTCAGTATTGAAGTAATTAAATATGACAGAAAGGTAAAAAGTTAGACAAACATATTTATTGTTAGATCCAATTTCATCGCTTAGCTTTTATGCATCAAATTATTTTAATTTTTGTTATATCAGATATTTTTTTTAGTTTATTCAATTTATCTTCCTTGCTTTTAATGACAACATAATGAATAAATAATAAAAACAATTTCAAGTTTAATTTTGCATCCTAAAATTTGATTTCACTTTTTGTTATGCAAAAATTTTTCGCTATTTTTGATTAAAAAAAAGATAACAACGAAAGAAATTTTAATTGAAATTAAATATTTCTTTTCAACATATATTGAAAGAATATTTTGCATAAATTTTATGAATGAAAAAGAGTAATAAAATGTAAATTACCGTAATCTAATTATAGTTCCCTTATTGCCATTAAGATTTTTTTTAGGTTTTCAATTTTTAATTACTGTTTAAAGACTTTTTTTTTCTTGTTAGAATCTTTATAAAACCATTTTGAATAAAGTTTCATTATGATATCATTAATTTTACGAATATTTAATATTTTAGGTTTTGTAAATTTAATAGATTTTTTTTTTTTAGAAGTAAGGGCTAATTTTGATTCTAAGAAATCAAGAAATTGCTGTACTGAATATAGTAAGTTAAAATTGGTACTGAAATAAAATTAACCAAAAAATTGTTGATTATTTATTAAAATAAAATACAGAAATTAAAATACGGAAATTAAAATAAAATACAGAAATTGTTAAATGAAAATGAATCGAAAAAACGAAATAATATTGCCTTTTACGTAAAACATTTAAGACTAGACATAAGGTACAATGAAAATCATCGGTTATATCAAAAGAGATGAGATCAATATTTATTGGACAGAAAGTTTGACACGAGTGATTTTCACGTAAGGTATTACGTAAGGTATTATTTTCACGTAAGATATTTAGGTATTCACGATTCAGTTTAAAGTACGATGGAAATCATCGATTAGATTAAGAGGAAACAAGATTAATATTGGATGGCGGAAAAAGTGTAACATATTTAACATATAAATGAGAAAGATAAGCGATTAATTTTGTTGATTAAATTTTCTATATTTTTAAAATTTTTTAAAATTCTTTTACCAAACCATTAAAAGCTTTGAAAATTTATATTAAAAGATGAAATAACATTAATACCAATCAAATTATTTTAATAAAAAAACGAAAAAATAAATAAATAAATAAAAAAGAGAAGCGAAAATTTTGTAAAAAATTATGGAATCTAATGCATGCGAAAAGTTATTTTTCATTTCATGTTTTTTTTTTATTTATTTTTTCTTTTTAAACTGCAAATGTTTTGAAATAGAAATTATTAATTAATTGCGATTTTATCTTCTCTTAATTGACCTTTCATATACATTTATTATACCTCTTCGTATGACTTATTTCATAAATAATTTATTTTTCAGCTTGATAAAAAAGTCATAATTAATATAATTGTAGCAATAAATAATGCTAAAATCATAGCAATAAGGCATATAATCACTTAACAGTAATTGATTTATGATAAAAATTTTTGCTATCGTTTTTTTTTTTGAACAAAAAATTAAATTATTTTTGCCAAAGTAACGATGACATATATAAAGTGTCATTGAGATGACAGTAGAAAATAGGAAATTGAAAATAAACCTTTACTAGAAAAAATGATAGAATAGAAAAATTGCAAAAAAAATATTTCAATAAATTGCAAAAAAAGGGATGAAATTTTAAAATTCCACATCTTTTGAAAATGATTTCATTAGCCGACAAAATCTAATAAATGAAAACAAAAAAAAAAATATGTTGAAAAATAAAAGATAGTAGTAAATTAAAGATAATTAATTGCTAAAAATATCGTGACGAAACGAAGAAAATACAATAATATTAGGATAGATTTGTTTTTTAAATTTTAAATCGGTAATATTTCTTAAGCTTTAATTGAATGCTTGAAATTTATATTAAAATGTATTCGTTGTTAATTTAAAGGTTAATCATGATAAACAAGAAATGGAACTATCAAAGGAAGCGAAAGTTGAAAAAGCAACCGGTGGTCGAACAATTTGGCGGAATATAATTTGGCTTATAATACTTTTTGCATATTCCTTCATTGGTGGCATTATTTTTAGCGCTATTGAAGGTAAAAATATGACTTAAAAATTATTTATTTCTAGCAAAATCTCTTCTCATTTCTTCTCACATATAAATTTTCGAGAAAAAAAAAATTTCAAAGAAAGCATGAAGTTTAATCATTGTACTTTGATGTTGCTCAATTCATTTTAAATTTCAAAAAAAAAAAGAAAAATTTCGGAAAAAAAGACCGTGAATTTTGATTTTTGAGCATTGATGTTTGATTTCATTAAGTCTATTTATAAATTTTAGCACTTTATTACTGAATGTGAAATTTATGAGTATTAGATATTGTATTCAATTACATTTTGTATTCGATTACACGTTATTTATCCAAATAGTTCGAATTTCAAAATAATAAATTTTCTTTTATTTTTTATTTTTATTTTTCTTATTTGATTCATTCTTTTTTTTTAGGTAGCAATGATAAAAATGAAATTCTGATGAAGTACAGGCATGATATGGATTTGTATGAAAAACACAAAATGTATCAAATAAAAATTTTCAAGTACATATTACCAATTAATATTTATATCATTTTAATATTATTTCACAAATTTTTGAAATTTCACAAAACTTAGCTATTCCAAAAGTTTATTTTCAATTTTAAATTGAAGAAGCAAGAAAAAAAAACAAATATTAATTATTACTTATTTACAATGATGTGATGAAGAATGACATATGTTTGAAATTAATCAATACATTTTTTTTTTTTTCATTAATTATTACACTGTTTATTGAGTATTTATTAATAATTATTAATTAATACTAAATATTTATCAGCATAATGATTTAATAATCATTAATTTACAGTGATCAAAGTAATTGGAAAATATATTCGTATATTTTGCTAAAATATAATTAACTGATATAGTTAATGGATTAATTTAAACTTAACACGGTAACAACTAATGTGAAAATGATGAAGAGAGAAAAGTTTGAAATAAGAAATGTGTAAAAGAGTTCTTTCTTTTTTGTTTTTTTTTAATGGGAAAAACATTAGTTTTGCGATGAAATTAATCATATTAATTGTTTTTGTAGTAGTAAATTTTAAAATATTTGTAAATTAATTATATTAATTGATTGTAACATTTGACTTATGATAAAATAACAAAAAATTTCGTTATTTTCATGCATAAAAATATATTACAATTAAATTTATAAAATTCAAAAAGAAAATTAATGAGTGAATAAAATTATTTTAAAGAAATAATTTAGGAAATTATGGGAAATTGATAGAAATGAATTATTATCTGCGCAAAATCAAAGTATTAGCACATTGGAGGCGGAAAATTACAAAATTAAACTTGCTCGTGATGAATTCAATTGGTATGAACATAAATTAGGAATTGAAATTAAACAACCAGTAATGGAAGATACGAAATGGAATATTTGGGGTGGTGTTTATTATTCGGCCAGTTTGTATACTACTATTGGTATATTTTACATTAATCATTATTATCTAAAAATTGTTTAAATTAATTAATGCCTCAAAAATTCTTATAATATACTGACAATTTAAAATTCTGTCCGCAATTTATAAATATTTCTTAAATTTTATTAAAATTTCTAAATGTCCCATAAATTCATATATATTGTTAATTTGAAAATTTTTTTAAAAAAATTTCCAATATTTCATGAATTCTTCATAAAGTGACAGTTTGGAAAAATTTCATTAATAAAAAAAAAGAATGTATAATTAATTATTAATACAACAATCATTATTTGATGATTTTTTTAGTCAAAAAAAAAAATTTTAATTTCAAGTTTAATACATCTTGAATTTATCGTCAGTATTTACCCAAAAATAGACGAATAATTTTGCACTAAAATAATATAGTTTTAAATTCAAAACAAGTTTTTTAATTTTTCGATCATAAAAATTTATTTTAAATTTAAAATAAATTAATTAAACCATTCATTTATTTTAATTAAATATTGCAGATATATTATATGTTAAACATATTATAATACATAGTATCATTTTAGAAATAATCAGATTTAAAATGTTCCAATAAATTTCAAATTAAATTTAGCAAATAAAAAAAAGGAAATTAATTACATGATATGATACAACATAATGTACTAATTACTATTGTAATGTTTAAGTAATTGAAATGAATGAATCCAATAATAGATAGATTTAATTTGTAAATAACTTTTAAAAAAATAAAACTTCATTTTATTTGTTTGCCTTTTTTTTTTTTTTCAGGTTATGGAAATTTTCATCCTGTAACACCCGCAGGTCGGATAATATCGATGATTTATGCATTTTGTGGTATACCATTAGTTTTTACAATCCTTTTGGAATGGGGTTTTTTGTATTATACCTGGTTGGATATGTTTTGGAAATGGTTTAATGTAAAATTATGTTCAAATGCAATGAAGAAACATCACAAAAAACGTCTTGAAAAAGAAAAGTTTATTTTTTTTCCTCAATTATTTATGTTTCTTTTTTTTTTTATGTTTAGGATCAAGTTTTATTCATTTTCGCTTTTTTTTTTTAGGAAAAAAATATCTATTTTATTTTTTATTTAAAATTTGATTAAAATAGCTTTAATCAATTCAAGTAATAAAAAATGAAAGAATTGATAATTTATTTGAGGCATTTATCAATTCCAATTCCTATTACTATTGAAAAGACATAAAAATTTGTGCTTTTAACACTACATGTTTAATGAAAAAGAAGGTTGCATTAAAAAAGTTGCATATTTTAGAAGTCGTCGTGCCGGAAGTGATTTATCACTTAGATTAACATCACTTGGATCATTAACTCAATTACCACATACCCATGATGATTTACATCAAACTGATCATCAGGTAAAATTCATTAGATTTATGTGCTATTTAGCAAAGATTAAATAAAATAATTAAATCAACCTTCCCTTTTCACTCTCATAAATATTTCCTCTTCCTCTCTTTGTGATAATTTTTTTCATATTTTAGAAATTCCCAATTTTTATTTTTAATATTTTATTTAAGTTAAAAAATACATTGCTTTAATCTTTTTTTGAAAATAATTTAAAATTTATTTTTATTTCATCTTGAGATTGTTATTTTCTTAATTTTCTTGTGTATTTTAATGAAATACTTACATATGAACTCTGCTTTTCTTTCTTTCCGTTTACCAATAATTATTTAAAAGTGAACCTTATCAATCAGCATATGTCTAATACGTTCAATGATTGAATTTCAGATGGAAAGTGGTAAAAAAATAACACAATTACCAATTAAGCTTAGCGAAGTGGAAAAACAACGTACCGTACCCCTTAAAGCTGCATTCATATTTTTTTCTTATGGATTTTAATTAGTGCCTTCGTTGTACGCCTCTGGGAAACTAATTGGACTTATTTTACCGCTTACTACTACTTCTTCACTTCACTTACTACAATTGGTTAGTCTTTCAAAAAATTCAAAAAAAAAAAAATTATCGCTTTTTGTGGAAAGCTAAAAAATGTAGAAAATATCGTAATGTGAGCAGTTGGAAAGCATATGAATATTAAAAACGAGGAGAATTTCTGAATTTTCTTCATATGTGTTTAAAATTTACTTGAAAAATTTTAGGACTTGGTGATGTTGTTACAGAAACACCAAACTATATTATTTTCAACTTGGCTCTTACAATGATAGGTCTTTCTGTCGTTGGCTTATGCGTTGCCATTGTACAGGTTATTTTTTTTAACAACGAATTTATTTAAATCGATATTTGAAAATTTTTTAAAACTCATTTAATCACTTTTTCTCCATAAGTGGTAGCATAAGAACGCCTTTTTTTTAATAAAATGAAAAATAAGTCCTTAATAGAAGAAAAAAATTGAATAAAGATCGAAAGCTTGTTATTATAGGCAAAAATTCGTTTAATCTTTGATCGGATGATTCGTTCAATCGATAGCCAATATCGAATAAGACAGATCGATCCAGATGTCGCCACAATGACTGTAATACCGGATGAGAAAGAAGGCGTTAAAAGGTTGTTTGTTCAATACATATGTATAATTATCTCTCTTGTCTGATAAAATGCTAACATAAATGCTGCAAAAACATTTGAGAAGGAAATGTAGGGAAGGATTTTTGTCTTTTGAAAGATTGAGGGCATTGTACGAAAAAACCTGAAATGTTTAGTCTTGTAATACATCTAATAAGAGACGCTATTTTACGTATCATCATGAAAGATTGATTGTTTAATTGAAAAAGTAACAAAGTAATTATCGTATTTCATAAATTAATGTGGAATCATAAAATTATCAGAATAAAATTTAAGGCTCTGCGAAGCACAACCAATACAAGATCGTATCATTTACATAGCAATGGATGAGCATAAAAAGCAACTTCTTGAAGATAGATGGCGACAAAGAAGTTCTATGGTAAACAGGTTAGTCTTGTGAAAAATAGGTTAGTTCAACCATAAACAAGCTAGTAAAAAATGCCCTCCCACTTTCTTTTTTAATCTTATTAGGATTATTTCCTGCACTGCTTAATTTGATGATGCTGAACATTTCATACCTTGTCAAAACAGCTTTCCAATAAATACTTAACGCATTTGACTGAATTCAGTTTCTCCATCTTCATCGCCAAAATTATACCAAGAATTTTGTCTATTACAACGTTACCGTACTTTAACAGTCGATTTTAACTCATAAAAAATATCTGAGTCAGGAAAGTTAATAAAGCTTACATATTTTCAGGATAATTCAAACAAGGCCAAATCGTGCTGACAAATGTATCCAAACTGGCCAGAGAGTTGATGAACAACCACCAATACGACTGGAAAAACAAGACGAATGGGAAAGTGGAAGCAGTACGTTATCGGAGGAGGATGTTATTGATTACGATCCCATCACTGGAAAACAAATTGTACCACCGAACTCACGTCGATATATTTATACGGTTTTTGACTGAAAATCCTGAAAATGTCATTAGGTTGGTTTTATCATCTCAATAGTTTTGTATTACATGTGTTATTTATGGATGGTAAGAGCAATGTCTTGCTTTACTGCGCTTAAAAAAAAAATGTTTTCGGTTTTTTTGAATAAACTATATTAAATACAAAGATAAAATGTAGCACAGAATGAATACCAAGTAGTATTTATACTAAAAACAACCTAGCATGTTATTAAAAATTAGTCATGCCATATTAATGACTTAAGCTTCGTCATGCTCAGTGATGAATAACATAATCTTGTAATTTTGTGGCGTCAAGAAGTTCTTTTAGTACAACAATCACTTACTTCAAAGAATATTTCTGATGCTATAGTAACTGATAGAAAAGAATAGCTTAAAATTACGAAAGCCATATACTTCGTAATATCAGCAGACACTATTATCGTCAACTATTTTCCATGCATTGATCGGGAGTCGAGAGTGAATTTAACAGATCTGCACATTGTTGAAGAGTTGTTTCAGAAATCTGCAAAAATTTTTTTTTCCACATTAGTAACAACATTTCATTCTGAGTTCTCCTTTTTCATTCCTAAAATCTATCAACAATGTGCATCATTAGATGAAATCGAAAGTGTGTCAGAACACCTACATCGATATGAAATAATGCGCATTCTTAAATCAGTGAGATGTTTTGCGCCGCAACTGCCGCAAAACTAAAAAAACCTTCATAGAAAATCGTATAAGGTCAGTTTAATAAGCAGTTGTCGAAACATGTACCAACCTTAAAGTGTACTAAGCTAGGTTTTTCTGTTGATCTTGATTCGACAACTGGAACTGTTCCTTTTAACATCTCGTTCGTGGCATTATTCAAAACAGATGACTGAAGTGAATCAGGAATAATTTCAACATCATTTATGGGTCCGGACAGAATACTTGCACTATCTTTCGGAGAAAGCACTGGAAGATATTTTGGTCAAATCCAATTTCTATTACAGTAATTTTAATTCTCACTACCAAAATTGACCAGTGAATAACTTTTAGCTTTTTTTTTCCATCTGTATAAAATTAAACTATCGCTAAGCTCTCTTCTTTTCACAGATAAAGATATCAGAAATCCCGATAAATCAACCCATAAATCAAACAAAAAAACTTTTCAAATATTGCTTTAGTGATCACGTTGAATTTTTTTTCATTGTTCAGCAAAGAAGTGAAAATATGTAACCTTCTTCGACTTCACCTTCTTTTTTAAATAAGTCCACGAGAGCTTGCAATCTAGGATTAATTTCAAATTTATCTTGCTTATCAACTTCATTAGTTCCATGTTTGTTGTCGCGCACTGCAAATATCGCCTGCAAGAGAAGAAGCAATCGTAAAATTTCAACTAAATTGCAAAGTTACATTGTTATAAAGATAAAGCAAGTACAATGTTCCATATTTTCATTTTCACACTAATCAATCATTTGACATGCAGACCGATGATTTCTGGCGAAATCTTGTCCTGCGCTTCCAACCTGCACGATCCATACCTCGACTACTGTACCAAAAGACTCCAGCTTTCTTCCTCGTTTTATGTCGGGCTCTTGCACGTCGGCAAAATTCACAAGCTTCTCTTGGCATCAACCTTATTAGCTGTGAAAGAATAATCACAGTTCATAAAATTAAAATATTCGGAAGTTTTTAATTAATGTTCCACTTACTTACCTATAAAAGTAATCGGAAATTCATTATCTTGCAAAAGTCACTGACATATAAAACTCAGACCCCTTATTGATAACGCCAATACCCACAAGTAAGGGTAACTCAACATTCAAATTCTCCCACAGAATTTAAGTACCCGATCCAATCGCATCCTTATATACCGAATAAATATTTTAAATCCACTTATAACTCTCCCCTAAAAATCTTCGTACATTTGATGAAAAAATCAACACCACTATTTCCTTGGATAGTAAAAACCATGTTTCCTTTTAAATTCAAATTCCGATTTTCCCACCTCAAACTCGTCAATTTGCAGCACTATACCCACCCTTCCCTTCACTACCACCCCACTTCTACTTTTCTTAATTGATTTAATAAAATTACGAAGGGGAATATTGTCTCTCTTAATTCAAATCTATGTTCAAATAATACTTTAAAAATTATGCATTGAAAAATAAATGTGTTTCAATGCACTCCATTAATAAAGAAGTAATACCTATTGGCAGTTTTCAGCGATATTTTTATGACACTGAACATAGTGAAGCATATGCCAAATATGACAAATTCAGGCATCCAGAAACATGGCAGAAAACTTTGAAAGTGAAAATCAAATTCAAATAAAGACAGGTAAAGACGTAATAGCAAACAGGTGAAACGAAATCAGATTATTAATTTCAAACAAGGAGACTGCATACAGTATGGAAATTTTAAGGAATGGTTTATATCATTAAGAGATAGAGACGGAAGTAGAAATCAAAAAATTGTCAATAAATCCTTCAAATTAAAGAAATGGGAGTAGATTTGCTTTTTCTTCCAAATTTTAGGAGGATAAAGACATCCTGAAAATTAAACACAATAAACAAAACGGGTTCAGCTATCTGTCAATTGTTAATCCACTTAGTGATTACTAAAAACAATTCTTTTCTCTGAATCTACCTTATTTGCTAGTATTGCTACCATTATTATTGCTGTTGCCTAGATATCTGAATCAGCTTTATTTGAGGTAGAATTCGCTACATTTGATTGCTTCGTCAAAAAAAAAAAGAAAAAGAAAAAAAACAAAAAACAAACGAAGAAACAAACAAATCTTCAAATCAAGGGAAACTATAAAAATGTAAGTATCGCAAAAGTGAATGCTTAAGACAATAAACTGTGACGCTAAACTTGTTCCAGCTTCATACATTCTTCGCAAGTAGTGTCATCAGCGCTGATATAGAGGCTTCATACATTCTTCGCAAGTAGTGTCATCAGCGCTGATATAGAGCGTGCGGAAGAGAGTTCATTATGGAAGTTCTCAGCATTAACTGCAATAATATCTGTTAAAAGAGGTAAATGACTGACTGAAATGTGTTTAAAGTGAAAATAAATCAAAATCCAAACGAAAGTAACGCCGAAACTTAAAAAGTAGTTCCAAAAGTTCTTTAAAAAATAATAAAAAGAAAAAGTGATATCACGAGCTTGGGAATAACTGCCAATATTCTTTGTTCTATTTCAATATTATGGCAATATGTTCTTGTTCTATTCCAATATCTATGCCAATATTGACTCTTGTTTTATTTGTGTTTATTTTATGCAAAATTGTTTTCCTACATCGTCAACCCAGTTTCTTATTCCTCCAGTTTCTTTCTATAATTTTCAACTCGTTAAGAATTTAATAAGATTCTCTTCAATTACCATTCTATATCACCTCGCAAGGCCACTCTTTATTAATCCGTTCAACAACTTGTGATCTTTTTATATCAGCAAAATTGAATTTTATCCACTCAGCTTCTTCACCAGAAATTATGTAACCTACGAGCTAACTGTTACGAAACAAGAATCAGGAAATAGACCTACATGGTGTATCAAGAAGTAATCTACTGAGCTGGTACGACTCTACTTTTAATATTGAAGACAAGAACAATCGACGATTGATCTCTGGCAAAGCTCGAAATGTCTTGAGCATTACATCGGATACAGCTCCGCTGACGAAAACTCCCCAACGATGTAGAACCTAAAGATTTTAGATTTTTGATGAAAAATGAAAAAACTATATGCAAATATCTGTTAGATAAATTCTTCAACAGCTCCTGATGCCACATATAAAGCTCAAGAACAAGAACTGAATAGCGAAGCTACAATATTAATATCAACAAGCAACAACCCCAATCGTCACCATTCAATGTGTAAGAGATAATTCATTAGGATGTATTCGAAGTTATTTCTTTTCATATTTCTGACTTCCTTTTATTTATTCATTTTTCTTAAATGTGTACGAACAGTTTTGACAGCGTGGAAAACATGTGCTGCTTCATCCATTCGTCCTTCTGATAGTCGTGTGAATAAAGCAATGTGAATAATATGCGGACGGAGAGCAAGTAACGCAGCAAAGTTGTGAAGTGCCCATTTGTTAGGAACCACTGAAAAGTGCTAACTTAACATTTGTTGACACGAGATCCTTTTCAGTTAATGATGAACATTTTAATCGCAAAAAATTATCTTTAAAATAGACTCAACTAACTTGATATTTCTTCCATTAGAACGAAAAGCTGGTGATCAGACCACGCATAGCATCCAAGATTTGAAGTGTTCGTCAGGTGATGAAAGCCAAGCGCTATTGAACCTAGTAATCTCATACATATGTGCTGTAAATTAACACCTTCTTCACATAAGATTTTCCAGTCGATAATCTCTGCAATAATATATTTTTTAAATGTAATATGAACTTTATAAATCAAATAAAAAAATCATTGCAAGCTAGATTATCTCGTTCTACTAAGACTTTGGACTAAGATGAGAAAAATTAAAACTATGAAAAACACTTACTATGTCCATTCTCAACATTTTTTAATGGTCCAAACATGATCATAAACAATTTCCCCTGAAGCTTCGTTGTTTCTTGTGTGCGTAAAATTGCAGAAATCCAAAATCCATAATCCTTTTTATCTTTTACTGAATGACTCATAAACAAGCCTTGAAGGCGTAATCGAATCTCAAAGTCGTAAAAAATTATGCATATCGCATTCAACGGAAAAAGTAAAACAAAAAAAAATTATTCAAGTTGAACCAACAAAATCAGATACTATGTGATATGTCATTCCTTGCCTGCTAAATCCAAACCTAAATAGACATAAAATAAAATATCTTACCTCCATCTCCAATGATGGATATTTCCCAGTTTTTTCAAGCAAAATTCTATGAAGCAACTGGCTTAACCCAGTGTAATACATAACTACATGCATTAGCGCTTCACATTCACGAAAATCCCACTTTTCGCAAAACTACAACAAGGAATGAATGTGAGTATAAAAGCATCACTCATAAAAATGAATATAAAAAAAAAATGAATATAAAAACATCACTCACTTCTGATAATCCCTTTACTGCTAAGAAAATTGGATCCACCGATTTATTAAAAAGTTGTTCATATGTTTCTATATTAAACATATTTTGCTTTTTTTGTGACAGTGCTCTTAGTCGATTATAAGTACAAGTTATAACTTTACGATATCTTAGAATATACGCCACAGAATATTGAAATGAGTTATTGTGATTTAGCATCCTTCTGAAATGCAATAGTAAATATTGCCGACAAAATTTCATAACCCCATTCTTGAGGACTGTTCCAAACATTCTTGAGATCAATTCCAAACATACCGCCATGAAGAAACGACCCCATCCAAGCCAATTTGTGATGTCTTCATTCTGAAAAAATTCAAAAATTTACAAATAGTTCTAAAGAGCAAGACAATAGCTTCCTGACAGATACGAATTACCTTGGAATAGAAAGAAATTAAGAATGAACGACGACTTCGAGAATCCATAACAACCGTACTCGCCTTCAGCAGCATACCTGAGAGATACAACAGTAGCTTAGCAGAGTTACAATAGCAATGACAAATTTCTTAATTATAAGAACTAACCCCATGAATAAAACGGGTCGGTATCAACAATGATATTCTCCATGTGCGCTGTAGTTTCAGTTAAAAATTTTCGACGGGCATTTTCCAACAACAAATAGCACCGAACTTCGCTGTTAAATGTTTTTGATGTCAAACCAATAGACAGCAAATGCTTAGCTGAAAAATGCCATAAAAGATTGATTATACGAAATGTTTAAATGCTGCAAATGAGAATTTCTTTTCGAATTTCAAAACCTTCGAATATAACAGTATTTTGTATATGACCGGAGTTGCAGGATAAGTGCTACAGGGTTTTGACAATTTAGATGAGTAAATAACCACACCTGTTATTAAATCCAATATTTTTGAATATAGTGAAATTAAATTAATAAAGATGAACCAGAAATCTGATCAAAAAGACTATGGAGCAATTCTCGTGGAAGTACTCGGAATATCCCAAGAGAACCCCAATCTTTTTTTTCGTTAATCGTTCGTCCGATTTGTTTCTTATCCACATTGCATGCTAAAGTGCTGCATTTTAGTTTAAGCATTATTCATTGTAACTTTCAATAAAAACAGAAAAAATGAAGAAATAAGCTATACGACGATGAAACAGAAATCAAGAGAAGATTCAGGGAATTTTAGAAATTAAATATTGATCAGAAGTATAGTAAGCTATCAATCTCACAGAGGAAATAAAAGGCTTACCTTGACCAGAAATATATGTCCGTTTCTGACAAACGTTGGTAATTTGACCAGACAGACAGATCCTATCGTTCCTATCCTAAACAACTACAAAATTATTAGCTAAGAAATATCAAGTAAGGTTAAATAAACAAAACAAGTTATGTTTGTTCCATTAAATACTTTTACAAACAAAATTTGCATCAATATATAAAGTTTATCATGGTGTCTTTGATTTATTTTCTGTGACACATGAGGGATGTGCGTCCAATAATAGCCGCATAAGGATTATTTTCCCTGTTAAATTAAATCATAAACACTATGGTAAAATTAGCTCTATGCTTATTGTAGTAGAATTTTAATAAACCACTTCCCCATCAAGGTATGGATGAGTTCCATATTTTGTGCCTTAAGAGCTTTATGGGAGTTATAATATTCAGCATGTGAGAAGCTTAAATTAACTTTTACGGAGTTTCTAAGTTTCCAGAAATCTTCAATATTTGACACGTTAATATAATGAGAAAAACAATCCGTTCCTAGGAGTGAGCTATTAACCTATCAGGTGCTCATTAGTTGAAGCCAAAAGGTTAGAATTGTTGATGACTTAATTAACTGAATTAAACTAATCGATATTTTAAAATTTATTCCCTATTATTATTAAAACCCAATAAATCAAGACTGGTTCGAATGATTATCGAATCTTCAAAAAAAAACAAAAATTGAAATTCACTTCTACCGATTGATTACATGAGATTAAAGTTAATTATAGCATTAACCATATATGCATTGGATAATTCATTGTAAGTACGCCAATTTTCATCATTCCTATCAGGAGACCAGTAATCCTGTACAAAGCTTAATCGAGGTGTTACCATTTTTCGTTTTATATTCTGCATTACACTTTTTTTTCGATTGATTTATCTGATGTACGTAACCTGAAATAATCCAGCGCATCATTTCATCTACACATATAATATTAATTAGAAAAATTATTTCGTATTATTTAAATTCTATTTCACTGATAATAAATCATCATTAAAAGATGAATGTTTATGCAGAAAATGTATTTTTAATAAGTATCCGTTCAATATTCGGTATATGCTTTATACAGAAAAATAAAATCGTATCTATGATATACCCTATTATATCCAGAAATTTCTATCATAAAAATGGTAGTTTAGCGATTATTAATAAGAAGTAAAGTAACAAAAGAAATGTCTGCTAAAGAAAAAGAGAAACAACATGAACCATCTACAATGTTCTCCGAGTAACCATTCACTCTTTCTTCCTCATCATATAACACGATATGCGATTACGTGCAACAATGACGATTACGTGCAACAATGACGATTACGTGCAACAATGAAAATTACGTGCAACAATGGAAATTACGTGAAATAACATAAATTATTTGCGGAAGTGAAACATCCCAGGATTTTTTTTTGCTTACATTTTTAATTGAAATTTATTGAGATTGACTTTTTAGTGTTTAGCAAAAGACTCATTTCTTTATTGAGATTGGCTTTTTAGTTTCAGCAAAAGACCATTTCTTTCTTTTCCTGTTTTTAAATAATAACCAAGTGATAATTAGTCTTTAAGAATATAAATCTGAAATTAAATTTCTTTTTGAAACAATTAATCAAATGGATTGATAATATTCACAATTATGTTGATTAATAAGCAATATTGCAAAAAAATAAGTCTAGAAATTAATGATTAAATTGGTTATTGAATAAATGATTAAGTTTACAGGTAAGCAATTCCGTAAATAGGTTAATAAGTTGTACCTATGTTACTAGGCGAATAAATTGGCAAAGAAGTAAACGAACTAGTTATAAATAAGTAATTTAGTAAACTGGTGGATGTGTTAACAAATAATAGGTTAGCAAATTAATAAGTAACTTGGTGTAAGGTAGTTGGATAAGTTAATGATTAAATATATTAGCATGGTCAACAGATAAGCTATGAAGTTAATAAATAAGCGGGCAAGTTGGTAAATAAGTAACTAGCTTATGGAATGCAAATCTTGATATCAAATAAAATTTAGTAGTTAATTAGCAATTGGTATAAATGATTTAGTATATATCAGCAAATAAAAAAATGAGTAAATCAGTAAAGATAAATAAGTGAACAAAGAATTGGGCAAATCTATTAATTAAGCACTGGATTAAATAAACGTAGTAAACCAGTTAATAAATGAATACATGATTAAGTAATTGAGTTAGCAGGTGAAAAATTAATTAAAATATATGATGTAGTAATTAAATTATGCTTCATTTTATGTCAAAATAATATCAAAAAGGACAATTTCATTCCTCGAAAATGATTTAATTGTTTACGTCTAACAGTAAACAAACAAAATCACGTTCACGTATTTTATAAACATTGTCAAAAAGAAAAAAATTAGAAGTTGAAAAATTTATTTCATTTTTATTGCTAATATTTTTGTATGCGTTTATATCATATTGTATATAAATCACTTTAAAAAATTTTAAATTAATATTGTTAGCAATATAATTTCATATTTCAAATGTTTTCATTCCTTTCATTTTTCTGATTAGCAATTTCTACCATTTCACCAATTGGTAATACTGTATTTCTCCCACAAATACAACTGTCATTTAAGCTTAATGGTATATTTGATTTCCTGGCATTGTCCGATTTTACAAGATCCTTTGAAACGGATGGTATCCTGAAATAGTATGCGCTTTTCCGGTTATACATCAAAATATTTGCATGTATGAAGAAAAAGAAGCATTAAAACTATTTCATTTTTTTACTTACATTTTTCGCAGCACCGATAAACGACCGGCCATTACAGGTGTCAAATTTTCATCTTCAATCACTTTTAATTTTTTGCTGAAATAAAAATTGATTTACTTAATTGAAAAATTCAATTTTTTTACTTATAATTAAGAGTAATTTCTTACTTATTCATCAACCTTTTTATATTAAAAACAATTAATTTTGGCAAATGTAAGAAAAATTGAGTTAATTGGAAAGTTTGAATTTTGATTTATATTAGCTTATTTACACTAAAAATGGTACGAGTTGATCAATTGGATAAGATGACAAGTAAGTAAACAGTGATAAGTAAGTAAACATTTGTAGTAGTTATGCATAATAAGCCTTTCATTTAAACAAGCCATTTATTGCCATGTTTTTGATTGTATTTTATTAGCATTGAAAGGTTATCAATGATAAGCTCATTTTTCGAATGATACGTTGATAACAAAATTACTTTTGGGAAAAAAAAACCCTTGAGTTTTAAAATTTTCAAATTCATTTATCAATTAAAAAATTTTTAGTCGAATTCATATGATCTATCAGGTAAATTGCTTCAATAATTTTTCAACCATTTTCTTCTTCAGCTCGTTTCTTTGCCAAAAATTCATCCTTAAGACGGGAAGCGCGATTTCCCAATGGTAATTCATTGGGTTTTTTAGGTGGATTTATCGGTCCTGTTGAATGAACTGATTTCGATCTTTGTCTGATACTTGATTTTGTAATAGATCTAGGCTAAAATAATCGACATTAAATAGGATTAGTCTGAGATGGTCGATATTATGAACGGGTTTAGGCTAAAAACTTTGCACTGTTATTAGACTTAGGCTAAAATGTTTGATTGTACGATAGGCTCAGATTTTAAAAAAAAAAGTCTTTTATTAAGCATATTTGATAGTATGTTATTTCTATACATGAATTTATTGTAACATTGAATCTTTAGAAAGAAGATACGAGTTCTTGTCTTTTCTGAACTAATCCTAAGATACCTGCATTATGCGTTATATTTTGACAAATATACCGCCCTAGTGAAACTAGCCGCCTGACAACTGTCTTCGGCACGACTCATTAAACCACCGAATTAAAATTAAATTAAAATCAAAAAAAGCGCTAGTTGAAATCAAAAATTTCGAAACATATATAATACTTTAATTCTTGCTTTATCGAATAGTTAAGGAATCGAGGCTACTCATTCAATCATTTCTACTTACTTCAAGAAGTATCAAATGATCTAGTGGATTGACCCATCCTACTTCTGGAACTATTAATAATAATTCAACAGTTTGATCCTACTGCAAACTATCTTTTCTAGCGATTTACACTAAAGTCTTACTTTGTTATATTGAAATATTAGCTAAAAACATATGCAAATTTCTTGCCTAATAATAGTTCCCTTCATTTTTTTTGTGACATTTTATTAAAATTATCATTTTTAAACTTCGTTTTTGCTATTTGCAATAATTTGCATATTAATGGAACAAAAATTTTTGAATATATTTGAAAATATGCAAGAAATTATTAACGAAATTGAACGATTTACTGTCATTATTGTTGGTGTTTTACGGATAATTTCACGAATTGTTTTTGGTCGTGATATAAATTTGCCCGATCGATTGAAATTTAACATGTATCGTTGAAGAAGTGGATAGGATTTTCGTCGTGCTGGTGATGACAAATAGTTAAAAAATTTTATTGGCTCATCCAAAAATGATCCTTAATTTTCGATATTTAATTTTTAATAACAAGTAATATCGATGTATCATTAGTAACAATTAAATTAATTGCCTACTAAATAAATACACATAGAGAATGTTTAAAGCCCATGCAAAGTTTCCATTTCTTTTTCTTTTTTTTTTGTTTTTTCGAACTAGATATTTAAGTAATGAAGTTAGTATTTCATGGAAGGAAAAATCATTGAATGGGTCAAAGAATATTTACTTCTACCTGTTTGCCCGGTGATTTTGTCATTAACACTATTCATTGTTGACAGCGAAGTATTGAATGATGTATTTCCAAATGTATTAATTTGTTTCATCTCATTTGATGTGCTTGAAATTATCATAGATTAGCGGACAATTAATTTAAATCAACATTTCATTTATTAAATTAGAGTTTATGATATTAATTCATTTGGTATCATAAAAAGAGGAGGAAACTCTTATTTAAGATTTAAGTTATGAGATTAAAAAATAATGAATTATAAAAGGTGATCCAATAATTTTCAAGTTCCAAATGATTTAAAAATTCAAATTTGTATAAATCATGAATGAATATATTTCATAATAAATATGTGCCAGTGTTTTATTGCTGTACTTATTAAATTTATTGCATAGATTATTGTTTAGTTCATTCGTATTTTCTTGATCCGTTTGTATAGCTCTAGTAATAAATTCCTTTCCGGTCATATCACTTAAACGATGGTCACTTTTCGGCGAAGAATTATTATTTCGTGTCATCCTGAAATTTGCTTCATATATTCCAAAAAATTTTCCTATTTTCTTCAAAATGTAACTTAAAACGTTTATCACGTATAGCTCTATTTATTATATATAGTGTAATAAGCGTAATCGTATCTTACACGCTGGCGTAACCGCGTTTCAGAGTAATATAATGGTAAAGAATTTACGTAAATGATTGTATCATTGAATCAATTTATAAATGATTCCGTCTTTTGTTTTGAAATCAACGTATATCGACGTATTATAATGTTTGGCAGCGTATTTTACATGATTGACAATTTGGAATGTTAAAGTTAGTGGAAATTTTTGCAAAAAAAAATTCTTTCTCACTCTTCATTTTCAAATTTTTTGATATATTTGTATATCTATAACTTGAAATAGTATTATCATGTAGGGCAACGTTTCAAGTGGCTTTTACACGTAGACATAACCGTGTTTTAACGTAAAATAAGCAAACAGAAAAATAGGGTACATACATTTGAAATTCTTGACCTTTGTTACAACGATCTTCCACGTGATTTGGAATAATTTGCGTTTGATTGTTAGCAATAAAGTGTCCATCAATCATATTGATTGCTTGATCCATATTTTCACTGTTGATAATTACGTCTATATTATTTCCCAAATTTGCATAATTCTTGCTACCAGTCTGATGTGTATTGGATTCAGTTTGCGCATTGTTATTGATTTTTGGCAATATTACCATTGTGTCTTCAATTGTAGGATTTGGATTTCCTGTTACTGACAAAGGATATTTTTCCGGATGCTTCGTTCTCATGGATGAAATCAAATGATGATTTCCAGATTTTCGAATTATAGATTGTGATGGACTGCTAGTAATTTGTAAACGGCTTAATTTCTCATTTAATTCAATGATTAAAGCTCGATTTTCTTCGGATAATGTACGATAAGGTGTATCACTTCGAGATGCATTTACAAGCATTGTGTTAAAGAATAGCGAATTTTCCTCTTTTTTGTCGGGATATGAAAAGTGCTGTGCCGTAGTATTATTAATAACGGTGTTCGGAGTTGACATGTTTTGAGGTAAGTTCGTCGTCATATTTCCTCTCATATTTCTATCATTCACTGAAGCTTCCGGAAAAGATGATCGGATAATTTCGTTAGTCTTCGGAATGTTTGTTTTAACAATAGTTTCGTTTGGTAATGAAACAGTAGTGCTACCGTTATCTGCTGCGCAACATGAATTAACAATATTTCCGCTTCTATGAGTAATAATAACATTGTTTCGGGAACTGATACTGTCTGGTCCCGAATTTGCTATAGCGAGGGTTTCCGATATTTGTTTTTCTTTTGGGGATTTCATATGAGGAATATTGCTGCCGAGGTTGTTCTCGGGAATTTGCCGATTATTGATAGTTCTAGAGGAAAGTACAGTATCCAGAGCAGGATTTACAGTTAACTTTGCAGGAGTACTAGAATGCAATTTTTGCTCCACATTTTCAGGATGTTCTTCTGAATTTAGTACTCTATCTTTGTGTAGTATATCGGGATAGTTACCATTCGATGAAATGCAAGTGTTCTTTCCAGCATTTTGTGCAGCGCAAGAGGTACCTTCATCCAATGAAGAAATAATATCTATGACAGGAAATATGGTTACTCGTTCGGGAGCAGTAAACTTCTGCATCGAATTACCATGAATTACCTGATCAGGTGCGTCCAATTGTGCCGGCATATTGCGCGAAATATTTTTTCTCACGACATACGTTTTATTTATGGTATTATTATCATGAATTACCTGATCAGGTGTATCCAATTGTGCTGGCGTAATATGCGAAGTATTCGTCCTTACGGTAATTGTTTTATTTATGATACCATTATCATAAATTCTCTGATTAGGAGCAACCGATTGTTTCGATTTATCAAGTGAAGTATTTCTTGTCACGGTAAATGTCTCATTTACAATATCTTCGTGTGTTGTTGTAGCCAATTGTTGGATTGTATCAGGCAAAATCTCCAGTTGATGATATTTGACATGTTTTGTTGATGGAAGAACCTTAGAAGTTGTAATGGAATTGCTTCCGCTTGAAAAAGGAGATCCTGAAACGATAATATCCTGGGAAATATTACGTGAAATTGGTACTTCTGGTTTTGTTGCGTCACCGGCATTTCGTTTTGGAAGTCGATTATCAGCTCCGGTTTCAGGATTCCAATTGTAAGTTTTGCATAGCTCTAATACAACTTCTCGAGCAACTTCTTCAACTGGTACATAAACAGGCTAAAAAATATTAGAATTGATTTTCTCCTGTTATTTTTTAAGTCAAAATATGATTTTTTCAAATATTTATTTCGAGAAATGTTGAAAGTACTAAAATATTATTTTCAGATAGTATGTAAGAACAATACTTCTGGAACAAAAAATGAACCTAAAGATTATTTTAAATTAATATCAATCTAACGACATACTTTCGTTAAAATTATTGTAGGTCAATGCTACATGACATTTGATATATTATTATAAATACTGATATATATCACTGGCATATATTTACTCCGATATATAAGTGTATTGCTCTGACTATAAGTATTATTACCTTTTCAATTAAATTCGATGATCATTTACTCTTTTAAAAAAAAAGTTAAATTAATCCAAAATTGTGGCAAAAATTAAAATCTAACATAGGAAATTGAACTATCCAAATCAACTGATGAATTCGTGCTAATTAATCGTTCATTTGCCCATTCTTCAGCTGCATGTAAAAGACTTGACATGTCGTCGCTAATATTCTTACCATCTTCACCCATCTAAAATATTTTTAATTCTGTTGCTTAAATTTCATTAAGTGCGTTTGATTGCAACATTTCAAAATTAAATTTTAATTTTTGCTACCAAATAAGTGTCATGTTTATTCTTATATAGTATAGTTTAGGATTTATTAATTCTTAGATATTTACAATAGAATTCAAGCAACAAAGCTTCTAACGATCGAAATAAAAAGAAAATACAAAAAAGAAAAAGTGGCAAGGATAGATTAATAAGAATCGATGATACTACGGTTGAATAAATATGATGAAATTTAAGCAGTTGAATAGAAATCGTAATAACTGCAATAAATAAGGATAGATCAATAATAATCATACTTCAGTTTACGATATATAATAGCGATAATTATGATAGTAGTGATAACTGTTAGGAGAAGTTGTAGGAATGTTAGTCTGTCACGTTGATTTACGTGTAGAGTGCGTGCGAGCTAAATTAACAGCCACACTTTCAAGACGTTGTTCTGGAAAAATGACAGATTTTTGCAAAATTCTGGTTTTTATCTTAAACTGAAAATTAAGTGCAATCACAAACATAATAACAACGTGGGCATAGGATTAAAGATTTAAACTAGCTTGTTCAGCATGTTGAATATGCATGCAACATACAACTTGCTATTGCAAGTGTGTTACTACATGCTTATTCATTATGCATGCAGCGTGCATTACTACAATTGGAAAAGTATACGTTACTTTCTCAGAATGTAACGTATACTTTTTCGGAATATAAATTTTATTATATATTAAATTTCAAGTAAATACTGGACAAATATTAAACATAATATTAGAAAGTGCTGCAACGATCCTGCAATGTCTCAGACCGAAAACTGCTTGCTGGTTGAATGGTATAATCTAGCTCCGAGGTGCTAGTAGCAGGTCGATGTAATATTACAAGGTGAAGGTATGATGTTTTTGTTCTACTGGTAGGATGATTATTTCGGATTTAGTAGAATGCTACTGATAAGTAGGAATGAAAAAATGACGAAAGAAGAATAAAAGGTTTTGAAAGATTGTGTTAGGAAATAGGAAGTAATGCGAGAGAGATTAGAGGAGTGGAAGAGATATTAAGGATTGTTTGGAATGCAGTGGTTGAAAAGGAGAAATATGTTCAGTGTGCTAGATGAGATAACAAAAGACTATTAATAAATATCAGGCGAAAAGATGAGAGGGATTGTTTACTGATAAGGGATTGCGAAATGCCGATGATATAAAATAAATGGATAAAATAATAAACTTAAAGATTTGATGATTGATAGAAAGGCTTATGTTTCTTTATTCAAGAAGGAATGACAGAGATGAAAATGTAAATTGCAGGATGTCAGTGATTAAGGAATACATAAAAAGGAAGGAGGGAGGTTTTAGTTTGAAGATTTCGAAATATCGTATTTAATGATATATAATATATGCTATCAAAAGATCTATTTAGATTTCGTTCCTTATTTCAGAGTAATTGCAGTATCATTTGATACCTCACAGTATGACGGAAACACCATCAAAAACTGCTAATCATCAGCGCTTAGCGGAAATGTCCATACATTTAACACCACTTGGTGCTCGAGTACCATACAGGTAAGCTATGTTTTTTTGTCACAGGTTTTATGAGTAAATATTTATTTCAAAAATATTTGGTATTAGTAAAATACTGTCCTATTATTTCTACTTTTACTGTTATAGTTGACTTATTTCTTGCTTTAAAAAAATATCCAGCTTATCATGTGACATATTATCACGTACAAGGTACGATTTGTTTCGTCTTATGCTTTTTCATTTTGTTTCTTTCACGTGTTTGTCTTTTAGTATTTCCATTGATAATCAACAAAATATCTGGGTAGCGACGAAGGGAGGACTGTTCAAAATGGATCGATTCGGCGAACTGCTTTTCCAGGAAAAAAATGATTCCGCAAAAAAAGCTGAACCATTTTGTCAAGTGGCATTTTATGAAAATAGAGTAATAATTACTTCTTCCTAAACTGTTTTTCCTTATGTGATTAGAATTATTCGGTATAGCCATATCATTCATCTATGAACTGCTCATAATAATGTGTTCAGTAACAATAATATGTTCAGCAAACGTTGCTTACGTCAAAAACATTTATGATCATCTCTCTTTCAGATAATTTATGCTTATTCGGAAGGTATGTCAGGTTTAACGTTACTCAAAATAATGACATTGGATGGTGAAACGATCAGTGAACAATTTGTTGACGGCAAAATACAAAGTTTAAGCGTAAATGATGGCGGTGAAATGTTTTTGACCAAGCGAGTAAAGGGCGAGGATTCCATTGTCTACAGGTATGTTCGGAAACAGTGAAATTGATATCCACCGTTTCACTAAAGACTTTATTTAATGGAGATTTTCAGTTATGTTTGATTACTTATGACTCACCTTTTGTAGTTCGGATATTTGTTGTCCAAGTTGTTGGAATGAAGTGATCTGCGAAGATGAATACGTTTTTCAGACAGTATGTGCCCTATCCAGCGATCTATTAATCGCCTCAACCTGCACTTTACCTATCAATATGTACTCTAGGTTATTTAATTTGAATGTTAATTTATTCATTACTTTGCTCAAAATAATGATACTGGATGGCAGAGCGATCAAAAATTAACATTTAAATTATTCATTTTTTATTTAACACAGATTTGCACTAAATTTTTATCGTGTAATAAATATTTGAACAAGTTTGTACCAACTTTAGAATTAGAACAAGTAAATCTATGAGCCGCAATCATTTTGCTTCATTTTCCGCATTTTTTGGAGTGAACTGTTAACTTAGCAAACAGAATAATGGTCTATTTCTGTCTTTTTTTTCGGCAGTCTTGCAGTATTTGTTTCACTTATCCAAAAATTTCTTGGATGTGGTGATCGATACCACTTATTCATATCACATTTTATGTGGTAGGGATGAGTGGTATCGATATGTTGAAATCCTTTGGATGAAATCCTTTATTCTTATAATCTTTTTTTGCTATCATTTTCCAGGCAGTTCCTCCGACTAATTAATGTAACAGAAGGGAAAGTGGTCAAAAGTTTCAGTAAGGAAGGAAAAGAAGATGGACAAATTTTTTTTCCTCTCTCAATACAAAAGTTAGTTTGGTTTTTATTTTTATGGATTTCTTTTCGTAGTGGTAACTTATCTTTTATGGTGCTGCAAAAGATATTGATCAATAGATCGAAGTGCTTATTTAGCCTTTCAGACTGTGCCATATCATTGCTCATCAAAGGTAGCCAACAGTGTAATTAATTTAGGAAGTGAATTCTTTTAAACATAAGTAGCAAGCAGATTGTAAGAAAATCGTAAGAACTTTATGCCTTCGAATTTCGTTTGCTATTCTATGTATGAGTTCAAATGAATTCTTCGCCGCGATTAATTCTGCGTTACGTAAAAGTTCTACATGATGTATTCCACTTTTTACTTGAGCAGAGAAAGAGAAATAATTCGAAAAACAGACGCAAAGAAAGAGATTCAAAAAGTCATTGCTCTTGATTCTATATATAATGTAATTCGAATGAATTATAAGACTCAAGTATTTCTACTACTCAAACATTCTAAAAACGATAAAAATAGTTGTGATACCACTGATATAGTAACTACATGCACACAAATTACTTCCATTTAAAGCATTAGCAGCTTTACTGGCTATATTAATTATTATTTCTGAATTGATACCATTGTATGATAGCATCTCTCCAGATATGGAAGTGACGTTCTTGTCTTGGATAAAACAGGTCGGATTCAGCAGTTCACTCAAGATGGGGAATTTGTTCGCGTAGCTGCAAAGATTGATGCTTATTTAGGGAACGCTTTCGTTGTTGATGAAGACATGGCTGTTATAGCTTGCTCAGGGATTGTATTTGATAAAGTATGTTTATTTAAAAAGTTAATTGGATTTTACAAGTACTATATAATCATCTTTATTGATTCTAATGTTGTTCGCGTTTTAACTAAGCATGAAAGTTTATTTTACTGAAATCGCCTTTAGTCGTCTCCTTCATCACTTCGTTACTTTTCTTTTTACGGAACTATTCAGTGATTTTGTTTGCAGGATAACCAAACCATTTGCGATGATTGGGTGGAAAAGGTTCGACTGGACGGTAGCAAGTGGTTACCTGATCCAGATTTTGTTGATAAAAAATAACGAAATATTTCCGTCACTCTCAAGTAAGCTGTGATAGTAAAAGTAACTTTATCGATCTGATACTTTTTGTATTTTTATCTTTAATCAGCAGGTTTGTAGAATAATGTTTACTGCATTTATTAATGTAAAGTTCCACAATGGTAATGCATCATCGTTAGACTCAACCACTTTTATTTTCATGCTGAACAGCTTATATTCATGAATTTAGTTAATCGTAATTTCTGTAAAATTAGATATAGTTGTTTATCGGTTATTCTTCATGCCTATGCATATTTATTTATTTGTTCACTTATCATAATAGGTTAAATATCTCTTCTTTATTTCATAAATACAACTATATGCTTCCAAAGTACGAAACAATTTATAAGTTCAGGAAGTTTTTTCCTATCGGAATTTTATATTCCTTTATCTATTTCAAAAAAATGCAATGCATAGTGAGTAATCAGTGTAAGCAGTTGTATGTCGATTTACTAACCTGGTGTCATGAAAGATTTTTTTCTTGATCGGCATAGGCGAATAGTTGTGATAAAGATTTATTGGTTGACTGTGAATTTATTCTTTGTCTTAAACTGCTTTTCGGTCGCGTTTTGAATGTGAGGAAAAAAGATATGATCGTTATGTCGTTTTAATTTGATGTAACTTCATTCATTCCAATTTTACTTCGAAATTTTGGTAGTTTGAGTGGTATTGTAATAAAAATTACATCATTCTGCAGTGTAAATTTCAAATTTCAAAATATGAACCATTTGTAGAATAAAATACAAAAAAAGGTCACGAAGACCACCGTCATGATATCAATTAAACAATAAAAGATGATCACTTTCTCGCTTATCAATATAAATACATTCTTTGTCTTTCTCCCTTCCTGGTCTTTTTTACTACCTATTTGTACTTCCGTTCGCTCATTGCTGTCATTCATCGAATTTGTCATTCAGCTCTTCCTGTT